CCAACGTCGCGGATTACCTTACCGGTGTCACGGTCCCCACTGAACGCATTATCAGACCAGGCTACGAAAACCGCTTCCCTCGTAACGCGGACATGATTCTCGCTGAATACCAGAAGTCGCCTATCTATACGCAAATGACCTCTGAATACGATTATCCCGACACCGATCTGGCACGCCAGCGCACTGCCGAATTCAAGGAATCCGTCGCCCAAGAGAAGAATAAGAAACTTCCCAAGACAAGTCCCTTGACAGTTGACTTCATTGACCAGGTCAAGACCTGCATTATCCGCCAGTACCAAATCATCTGGGGTGACAAGGCCACCTTCTTCATCAAGCAGATCTCTACCCTGGTTCAGGCGTTGATTGCTGGTTCACTGTTCTACAATGCCCCTAATAACTCGGGTGGTTTGTTTGTCAAGTCCGGTGCTCTGTTCTTCTCCCTGCTCTACAACAGTCTTCTGGCCATGTCCGAAGTCACCGACTCTTTCAGCGGTCGCCCGGTTCTGATCAAACACAAAGGCTTCGCATACTTCCACCCTGCCGCCTTTTGTATCGCTCAGATTACTGCCGATATCCCGGTCCTCTTGTTCCAAATCAGCATATTCTCTATCGTGGTTTACTTCATGGTTGGCCTCACCATGTCCGCCAGCGCTTTTTTTACCTACTGGATCCTTGTCTTCACTGCCACTATGGTGAGTAAACGTGAACATCCGCTTGTTGCCCGGATTTGTACTGACGTCTCGCATAGGCCATGACAGCGCTGTTCCGCGCGGTTGGCGCGCTTTTCAGCACGTTCGATGGCGCCTCCAAGGTCTCGGGTTTCCTCATCTCGGCTCTGATTATGTACACCGGTTATATGATTAAGAAGCCCCAGATGCACCCTTGGTTCGGCTGGATCTACTGGATCAACCCCATGGCCTACGGTTTCGACGCGCTGCTCTCCAACGAATTCCATGGAAAGATCATTCCTTGTGTGGGAACCAACCTCATTCCCAGTGGAGAGGGCTACAGTGGAGACGGACATCAATCATGCGCTGGTGTTGGTGGTGCCATCCCCGGAAACACCTATGTCACTGGTGATCAGTACCTGGCTTCCCTGTCCTACAGCCATACCCATGTCTGGCGCAACTTTGGTATCCTCTGGGCTTGGTGGGCTCTCTTTGCTGCGGCCACCATCATCGCGACGTCCCGCTGGAAGTCTCCCGGTGAGAGCGGTTCCTCCCTTCTCATCCCACGCGAAAGGGTCGATGCCCATCGCCAGGTTGCCCGCCCCGACGAGGAATCCCAGGTCGACGAGAAAGCCAAGAAGCCCCATGGTGACAATTGCCAGAGTGAAAGCGACCTTGACAAGCAGCTTGTCAAAAACACCTCTGTTTTCACCTGGAAGGATCTCACCTACACGGTTAAGACCCCTAGTGGCGACCGCGTGCTCCTCGACAAGGTATACGGATGGGTGAAGCCTGGCATGCTGGGTGCCCTGATGGGTTCCTCCGGTGCTGGTAAAACCACTCTCCTGGATGTGTTGGCTCAGCGCAAGACTGAGGGTACCATTCATGGCTCCGTCCTCGTTGACGGTCGTCCTCTGCCCGTTTCCTTCCAGCGCTCTGCCGGTTACTGTGAACAACTTGATGTCCACGAGCCTTTTGCCACTGTCCGTGAGGCCTTGGAATTCTCCGCCCTGCTCCGCCAGCCTCGCCATGTGCCTGCTGAGGAGAAGCTCAAGTACGTTGATACCATCATTGAACTTCTTGAATTGCATGATATCGCCGATACCCTTATTGGTCGCGTCGGAAACGGACTGAGCGTTGAACAACGCAAGCGTGTCACCATCGGTGTCGAGTTGGTCTCGAAGCCCAGTATTCTCATCTTCCTGGACGAACCCACCTCCGGTCTTGATGGCCAGTCTGCTTACAACACTGTCCGTTTCCTGCGCAAGCTCGCCGACGTGGGCCAAGCTGTGCTCGTCACCATCCACCAGCCCTCTGCGCAACTCTTTGCTGAATTCGACACCCTACTCCTCCTCGCCAAGGGTGGAAAGATGGTCTACTTCGGTGACATTGGTGACAACGGCCAAACTGTCAAGGACTACTTTGCTCGCTACGGCGCCCCCTGTCCCGCAGAAACCAACCCGGCCGAGCACATGATTGACGTGGTCTCTGGCGCGCTCTCCCAGGGTCGCGACTGGCATCAAGTTTGGAAGGATTCCCCCGAGCACACCAACTCCCTCAAGGAACTCGACTCCATCGTTGACGACGCCGCCTCTAAGCCCCCTGGCACCGTCGACGACGGCAACGAATTCGCCATGCCCCTCTGGCAGCAAACCCTCATCGTGACCAAGCGCTCCTGTGTCGCCGTTTACCGTAACACCGACTACGTGAACAACAAGCTGGCCCTCCACGTCGGCTCGGCCCTCTTCAATGGCTTCTCCTTCTGGATGATTGGCAACCACGTCGGTGCTCTCCAACTCCGTCTCTTTACCATCTTCAACTTTATCTTCGTCGCCCCTGGTGTTATCAACCAACTGCAGCCCCTTTTCCTGGAACGCCGCGATATTTATGACGCCCGTGAAAAGAAATCGAAAATGTACTCCTGGGTCGCCTTCGTGTCTGGCCTTATTGTTTCCGAACTCCCCTACCTCTGCATCTGCGCTGTCCTCTACTTCGCCTGCTGGTACTACACCGTCGGCTTCCCTTCGGATAGCAACAAATCCGGTGCTGTCTTCTTCGTCATGCTGATGTACGAGTTCGTCTACACGGGTATCGGTCAATTCGTCTCCGCGTACGCCCCCAACGCCATCTTCGCCTCGCTCATCAACCCGGTCATCATCGGAACCCTCGCCTCCTTCTGCGGTGTCCTAGTCCCCTACACCCAGATCCAAGAATTCTGGCGCTACTGGATCTACTACCTCGACCCCTTCAACTACCTCATGGGCAGTCTCCTGGTCTTTACCACCTTTGACACACCTGTCCGCTGCAAGGAATCCGAATTCGCCATCTTCGATCCTCCCAACGGCTCGACCTGCGCCCAGTACCTCCAGGATTACATGATGGGCGCCGGCGCGCGCATGAACCTCATCAACCCGGATGCCACGGCTGACTGCCACGTCTGCGAGTACACGCGCGGAAGCGATTACCTGTATACCCTCAACCTGAAGGATTATTACTACGGGTGGAGAGATGCTGCGATCGTCGCTTTGTTCGCGATTAGTTCATATGCCTTGGTGTATGTCCTGATGAAGTTGAGGACCAAGGCGTCGAAGCAGGCTGAGTAGAGAGTTTCTTTCTCACCTCGCTTTTCCCTATTGGCATTCGGCCAGTCAAAGGATGGCTGGCCGACTATTATAGACGTACATATGCATACATACCCCTTTGCTTACTTACAACCCCCCGCCCAACTGTCTTGCATATAGACCGATACACCGTTTGTTCTATTCTTTTCTCCACTTATTTTTATTTTTCTTTCTACAGATCGTTCTTATTGTCTGTTACTTTAGGCAGCGTCTGTGTGAAGAATTTACACATTTGCACCCTTTCCTTTCTACTTCATTTCGTTCTGAAAATCAGACTCGCTCATATTTGTCTTGCACGCATTGTGGAGGAGATCTGATTCTATTCTTTTCACTAAAATATTGACTTTGATCTTGATCTCGACTTTGATTTTGCTCGATAGACGAATACGTGTCGATGTGTAACGCTACATGTGGATGAATGGTTATTGTTTAATAATAGATGAAATGGCTGTTAGCTAGGCTAGATCATGGAATTTTATTTCATTAAAAAGTCTGAAAACGAGTCAGTGTTTAAAAGTATTATTACATCCAATCTAACTGCCGCTGGTGAGCATATAGGAGCATATAGCATTTCAACTCTGATATATTCAACTAGTACTAACTGAAGAGTAAGCAAGTAACTAGTATATAGTTGACGGCGGATAATGAATGGCAGAGGCAGATACTTGATTCCGGGCGGTCGGGGAGGAATCCATCACATCAGCGGCGGGGACAGCAGTCATAGTCATGGGCGGGGCCGAGTGGAAGGAAAGGAAAGGAAAGGAAAGGAAAGTCAACGGCACTTTATGCAGCAGAACCAGCATCAACATTGCGCAGCGCAGAAAAAAATTACATCCGCGGGTGTTGCAATAAGAGCCGATAGAGCCGTCTTGGATTGCATGCTTGGGTACTACTACTACGTAAGAATCATCCGAGCCGGTACAGGGGATGGGATGGTTGAGTGGCTTGCATGAACTCAAAGGAGGCACTGCGTCATTGCGGGGAGCTTATTCTACAAGGATCATGCGATCGCGGATGTTAGGAAGGTGGTAGGTTTCTGATTGCTGCTGCTGCTGCTGCTATGGAGGCAAGGTTTCTCTTGTCCTCCGGGACATTGTGGCTCTTACTATGTACTACGGACGCTGACTGGGGGAGGGGTTATGCATGATTGGTACATCGCGATGGAGTACTTGAGCAAGGAGTCCTGCACTTTCCTAAGTCTTCATGGTCGGGATGTTGATATACCCTTCCAGGTTCCGATCAATCACTGGATCTTCCTGGATCTCCCCTGGGGTAGGATGCCATCGGAGGAGCCGTCCTCGCTGATGACATCGTACAACCAGTCATATGCGTCCAGCAATGACGGATTCCCAGACTCTGGTGCAGAAAAGAGAAGATGAGAGCGATAAAAGTTATAATATGGGCCGTCATAGTAGCCCGCTATTCCAGGACCAGGAGCAGAGTCCACGTCGCCTTCTACGAAGTTGTCGCGCTATCGGACCAGCTTGGGAGTCAGCTAGAAATGGGAGCAACCGGAACAATACCACATAGCCAATTGAGCCTTGTAGGATCTACCGGCAGGGTTGTCAGTCAATGCCGCCAATGACACCTGCAGAACGAAGAGCTCTCACCTTGACATTGGTGCCTCAGCCATGGAGACAGAGCAGTTTCAGAAACATGAGTCTGAGACGACTGGGGCAAGGAGACTGCAGGCTGCAATCGAGGCGAGGCAGTTCGACTCGGCCGTGGTTGTTGAAACTTTATCAAACATGGCGATCTGAAGCATTGGTAATGGTCAAGCCTGGTCCGGGAGATTCTCTGCAGTGACCGTTTCTCTTGGTGTCACCGGATCCGAGGCCTAGACACTGCTCGGATTCCTTCTATAAGCGATGCGGTCGTGGACAATGCACCGATCTCACGGACGGTGCATTGGAAGTGGCCGTGCAAACGATCCCGGTGGATACACAGCAGATAGTCGTACAAATGGGTCCGATCTATATCTATCTATCTTGTATCTATGATCGAGATAGATGGACCACCAGTTAGGAAATCAAGGCCGAGAAGCGAGCCATGCGCCATCTGGTGTACGTACACCAGGGCGCGATGGACGAAGCACGGGATCCAAGTATAGTAGCAGCAGTGACCCGGGAGATAAAACAGTCTGGAGCAGCCATGATGTTGCAATCGGGACCATCCAACACATCCATTTCGTCCGATTATTCCTTCCCCCTGACCCGACTCCACCGAGAGTCTGGAAACCTCGACCATTTCACGCCTTGGGCCGCCATGATTGGCGAGTTGCCACCACCACCACGCCATGGCTCCACCCCACAGACGCTGAGTGGTTGGCAGTGGATGGGGCCCAAACCAATGGCGGACCGGATAAAGTGAAAAAGTGAAATGGTTTGCAAATGGTGAAAACTTTCCTTTTAGTCGGCCCGGCGGGACTACTCTGTAGAAGGGCATTGGGTGGCCAGCCAAGGTTTTTTTCTTTCTCCTCTCAGGTACCACCACAACGTGTGAGTTGAGTAAGTAGGATCCAGTCTGGACCCATTGAATTGAAACAATCCCTCAGTTGGTCAATGGCTGTCACATAGAAGAACAGGTGAGGTGAATGTGACTGATTCAACTTGCCTTTGACTTCTCTGTAAGGAGAGAAAGACAGATGACGATGACCATCAGGGATCCTTGTATCAAGTCTGGAAGAAGGGGGATAAGGATAAGGAATAGTTCTGCAACATTGGCCGGTGAGCTGTCAGTTGGGTTTCATCGTGCAGCGCTGATCCTGCATTCAATTTCTCCGGCATCCAGCCCCGGCTTGTCTCGTCTCTGATCGCCAATCACGCCCATGTGCCATGAAGTCATGCTGCCGAGTCGTCCACATCCATCACGTCCTTGTCCCGGTTTTCTAGCTTAAAACCACCATCCCGACGGGTCCCCCTTCTTTTCCTCTCACAACAACAGTATTGTTCCTTTCTTTCAATCCCGACTGTGGATGTCTGCCGTGGACTTAATTTGGTTTATCTCCGACTGCACATCCATTTTCTCTCTTCCCTAACTATTTCTGCAGCTGGTGCTGTTGGTGGTCTAGACTGAGACTTATTTTTGGTTCGGCAGCGCCCCCCCCCCCCCCCCTTCTCCCCGGTGGACTTGACTTGCCTGTACACGCCGTTGGGAATTCCCACGCTGCTCTCCACCCACTCCCACGCTTGACTATTATCCACCTTTTTATTTTCTTTCTTTCTTTCTTTCTCTCTTCTTTTTTTTTTTTTTTTTTTTTTTTATTCCTTCCCGTCGCGGTTTTTCCTCCTGCCATTCCGAGTAATTCTCCAGTTTCCTCCTCCTAGGAAGCGTAATTCACAATTCTCCATATCTATCATTCCCAATCCCCATCACGGTTACCCGCCTTTTTGACACTTGCACTATTATTCATCGCTTTCTCCCGTCTTCCTCTCTCATTCGTTGAAGTGCTTTATATTGCCGACACTCTCCGAATTTATTGCCCTTTTTCTTTTTTTTTTCTTTCTTTGTTTCCGCTCCCCCAGCTATCAGTATCTGTCGCGCATTCCTCCTCACTTACCATCTGCCCCCTTACTTACTTCACTCCACACCTTTCTTGGTTTGACATAATCCTGATTGTCCGCGCAGCTGGCTGCTTGGACTGTTCCCAATGTCGGAGTCACCTCGCCATGACGATGCCTCCTATGAACTCCTAGGCCGCCAGAACAGCTGGGACGGCAACGACGAAACCCTCGTCCCGCGCAATTCGGGCGAGCAGCCATCCGCCCCCTCCCATCCCGAAGGCGAACCTCCGGCTGCTGCAACTGAGGAGGTTGGCCCCAATGAAACCACCAGACCCGCGCGCGTTCGATTTCGCTCCGTTAGTAACAACAATGAGACTGTGCCGGAACGCCCGCCCATGCCGCGCGGGGATTCCGAATACTCCCTGCGCTCAGTGCATTCCTTCGTCCCCACGACCGCTCAATCGACCGATCTGGCCGACTATTTCGAACGCGACTACGCGCAGGAACATGATCCGGAAGAGGGAGAAGGCAACGAAGCAGACAAACGCTCCTCGCCCACCGCCAATGAATCTCGAGACACCTCGCTCGACAAAGATGAGCCGCAACAACCCGTCTCCGCCAAGGACCGTTGGAGGAACGCCAGCAAATTGCTTCGCCAGAAGACCGTGCTCTTGGGTGAACGTCTCGGTCGACCGCTGGATGATGTAGGTGACTTGGGAGCCGCCATGTTGCCCGATGATCTGGAGGGCGGCTATCCTCCCCGCCGCAGGGCCGATGAGAAGGAACCTCTTGATCCCCATGGCCGTACTAATGACGAGCCGCCTCCCCCGCCGAGTGCCGAAGCCCATCGCCTGGTTCGCAGCATGACCCAACATAACATGCATCAACGCCGGAAGCCCAAATCGGCCTATGCCAAGTCAGGACAGGAGACGCCCGATGGCCTGGGTCGTCCGGACTCGTGGTACGGAGCTGGCACTCCCGGTGGTCGCGGCGGTGGTGGTATCCTCTCGCAGCTGCTCAAATTACACGCCCAGCAGCAGGCCAACCGGGACAATATGTCCATGACCGACTCCTCCGACAACGAGTCCGTGGCATCCTCCGGCACCGCAACGCCCCGGAGAGACTTTTCCGCGGGCACTTTCTCCTCCGGAACGGCTACCCCCAAGAAAGAGAAGGTCAAGTGGTACAAGAAGTCGAGTCATCAGTCCACCGCTTCCCTGGTGGAGGCGTCGATGAACCTCAGCCGGGCGAGTTTGCCTGCCTCGGCAGACACTCTGGTGAACCTTCCCAACAAGAAGAAGGGCAAGAAGAAGCGCAAGACCCGCCTCGAGGACGAGATCCGCGTGACGGTGCACATTGCTGAGATTCTGGCCCGCCAACGATACATCATGCAGCTCTGCCGAGCGCTCATGCGCTATGGTGCGCCCACTCACCGTCTCGAGGAGTACATGCAGATGACGGCTCGTGTTCTGGAGGTCGAAGGGCAGTTCTTGTACCTACCCGGATGCATGATCATGTCCTTTGACGATCCGGCCACACGTACGGCCGAGGTCAAGCTGGTCCGTGTGGTGCAGGGAGTCGATCTGGGTCGCTTGGCGGAAACGCACAATGTCTACAAGAACGTCGTTCACGACATGATCGGGGTGGAGGAGGCCATCCAGGAGCTTGATCTGATCATGAAGCGGCCCCCACGGTTCAATAAGTGGATCCTGGTGGTCACCTACGGATTGGCGAGTGTTGCCGTCGGCCCTTTTGCCTTTGACGCTCGCCCCATCGATATGCCTATTATCTTTTTCCTCGGATGCTTGGTCGGCTTCATGCAACACGTGCTGGCGCCCCGGTCGGTGCTGTACTCCAACGTGTTTGAAGTCACGGCAGCCATCTTGACATCGTTCCTTGCGCGAGCCTTTGGTTCCATCTATGCCACCATCGATGGGACGCACGAGCGTCTGTTCTGCTTCTCCGCCTTGGCTCAGTCCTCGATCGCTTTGATCCTACCGGGTTTCATGGTCCTGTGCAGCAGTCTGGAACTGCAGTCGCATCAGATGATTGCCGGTTCAATCCGCATGGTCTATTCCATTATCTACTCCATGTTCCTCGGTTATGGCATCACGGTCGGCACCACCATCTATGGGCTGATCGACGGCAACGCGGCCTCGTCTACAACCTGTAAAAACGAGGACGTCTGGGGGAGCAAGTATATTCAGCATTTCATCTTCGTTCCGATCTACGTGATCTTCTTAGCCATCATCAATCAGGGCAAGTGGAAGCAGGTGCCCGTGATGATCGTCATTGCCGTCTGCGGCTACGTGACCAACTACTTCAGCACCCTCAAGCTGGGCTCTAACTCCGAGGTGGCCAACACGGTCGGAGCATTCACCATCGGCCTATTGGGTAATTTGTACAGTCGGTTGTGGCACGGACATGCCGCCACAGCCATTCTCCCGGGTATTTTCGTGCTGGTGCCGTCCGGCTTGGCGTCCAGTGGTTCCTTGCTGGCCGGTATCGAGTATGCCAACGAGGTGCGCGACAACCTGAAATCGGGAAACACGACAGCGACCGACAGCACCTCGGACTCGTCGATTGCCAGTCTGGGTTTCGGTATGATCCAGGTCGCCATTGGCATTACGGTGGGATTGTTCGTGTCTGCCTTGATCGTCTATCCCTTCGGCAAGCGTCGCAGTGGTCTGTTCAGTTTCTAAAATTTGACATTTGATAATTACATATACACACCGAGCGGATTTGGATTTATATTGTGTTACGATGCGTTAGATCATGTATTTCGGGATCTTGTGTTGCATTTGAGCCGGCTTTGCATAGATATGATTGATTGATTGATTGATTGATTCATTCATTTATTTATTTATTTACTACTTTCTATCTCTACTTTTCTCTTATTTCGGGTCATTGCAGGGCAATGTCTAGCCTTGGATACCTTGGTTTGCTGGATAGATAAAATAGCTTCAGGATATAATGACATGGTGTCCGAATTCTTTCTAAAGACAAACATGGTCGTAAACCTATAGTATAGTGCGAGGTGTCTCCAGACCGACTTCAATAAAATGAACTCTGGCATCTTCCTAGCGCTTAAAACACTGAAGCCCAGTTAGCATGGACTATGAGGTTATCACACAGTTCAGTCCCTCTAAGCTGAGAAAATGGCCAGTGGTCTGTATCAATTTGGACTTTGGTTGTGCTTGTGCTATGGTGGTAAGTAAATATGGTAGATTTGTTTAGAAACCCTTAATGTAATGTATCCAGCCAGCCAGCAGTACCCATTAATATAAATAAATCTTGAGACGGACAATGGGACCAGTCCACCTCGTCCATCAATAACCGTACCACTGCTGCATCTCGATATAACGTTCGGTGGATGTAATCTTCCAAGACCCCCCCAATGTCAGACTGGTCAGTATGATCTACCACTATTCACACCCAGCAAGTCATGTCACGTCACGTTCACTGCCAACAGGAATGGCAAAACCCCAGGCCGCTCGATTCTCCATGCATGCATGCATGCAGGCAGGCAGGCAGGCAGGCAGGCAGGCATACGATGAATTTGTTTCACGTGTCTCGCAAATCACACGGCGCATTCCTCAACTCTTGGAGAGGGTCTGGGCCGCCCCACTCAAGCGTAAGTACTCTTGTCTATTGAAAGTAAGTGATCGTAGCGTTTCTTCGTCAAATCATCCACACATGAATATGTATATGTCAGGGTTGTACAGAGGCTCGGCTTGAGCAGGGATTTTCTTTGATGTATGTAAGAAGGTGTGTACTGAAGGAAGAGGTTTAGATATGTCTGTTTGCATTTCTGGGTAGGATGATAAGGAGACCGTAGGGAGAGGGGTTCCAATCCTATTGAGTTTATATTTCTTCTCGGCTTGCTCGATGGTAAGAGAATTGTGGGAAGTAGAAGATACTAACTTCTCCGGCATATTTGATTGTTGTACGTGAGATGCCCGCGACTTTTCTTGTGATACTTTGTAGTGAGCAGGGTACTTATCGCCCGAATGTGGATGAAAATGATGCAGAGGAACTCGG